GGTTGAATCCTCTCTTTTCCATTCCTTTAAAAGCAGCATCAGAGGCGCCAGCATTCAGGCTACAAGGGTCAGGAAGGGATTCGCCACAAGGCCGTCTTCCTTAGGCAGCAGGAGTGAGAGGATGCACAGAGGAAGGGAATCCTGCTGAACACGTTTTTATCCACTGCATCTCTACCATTGGTCCAGCGACCACAATGATGCGGCTGGAGGATGGCCGGCGTCACTCGCATCAAATGTAGGATTCAACCGCTACCGGGGGTTCACACCAAAGAAGAGCGTCACATGGGAGGGCCACATATATTGCACATGTTATTTATTCATCTGTTGATTAAAACGTTGATTGATTGATAAAGAATCCAATATGGCGTCTCTTTTGGGATGGTACCTTTTTTTTTTTTTATTTGAACGCATGGGCTGGTCCGGCTGACCTCACATGCCACTGCTGCAGAGTGTTCCAAGGCATGACAACATACAGGCAACCGAGTGATGATGAAACGCATTGCCAACCATTTCTCTAATTCATTTTAATGAGATGTCACGCGCGTAACCCGAACATCACAGTTGCACTGTTTTAAGGATTAAGATAACCTCTATTTTTCTTTCTTCCACTTCCCTTTGGTCCGGGTTCAAATTTAACTGCAGAAATATATATATATAATTTCATGCATTGACGGTTATAAGAAGGTACCACTTTCCTGGTGCAAACAAACAAGACACCCCCTCGTTCTTCGACAGAATCTCAGGCTCAACTCTTTTGCTGCAGTTTGGAAGAAATTAGTTTTCAAGGATGACCTCGTACACAAAATGGGAAATGAGAATTGAAAAAGGTGCCATCATGGGTGGAATGTGGGACGGGAGGTTCAGGCCACCGCTGCTTTTGGTGCGGCAGTAGAAGGAAGTTGTTACAGTGGTTGTCACATTCTCATGAAAACATTATTACCCACAGAACGGGACATAATTCAAGTAGCAGCTATTTGATTGTGAGTTTCTTTTGATCCATATTTCTTCCACACGTTGTTAGAAACTTTTTACTGAATTGTTATTATTTTCAGAAAAACATGCCACAGAAGAATTCACTTAAGAGCAGAGACCATGATTTTTATTTCCCGAGTAATATATGAAGTCTTTCCCCGGTCGAGCGCGCTCCACAAAGCGTGGTAAATGCCCACGAGGAGGGAGTGCACTGTGGCATTTCTGTGACCGCAGATACTCAGTCAACACAAGCAGATGGAGTCAACAGACTGAGTGAAGTGTCACCACCTCGGACGGGACAGGAGCATCCGCAGGGCTTTTCTGGTGAACCCATCATGGGGCACTTCTTCCCACACACCACCTCGCACAACAGCGATGTCGCTGTACATTAGTGCGGATTTGTGCCCATCAGGGAGGAAAGTTTACACCAAAGTAGCATGTTAAAGATAGAGTGCAAATGTTTGCTTATTGGCCCAGAAATGCACACAAAATGAAATGTAAAAATTAAACTTACCTAGGATGAAAAGAAATAAGAAAGAAATAGAGTAACTGCTTAGTTGTAAATGTATCTTTGCACGTCATTGTCAATTATTGGAAACCTATCAAATTGATGTTGCAGAAAAAGGCAAGAAAAATACAGCAGTGTCTGCGGAGAAAAATGTTCTTTAATTCCAAACAGGACTTGCAATTGATCAAATTGGAGGCAATTTTAGACAGAGCTCGGGTGCATCCGATCATAACCAGGAACAAAACAAAGAAGAAGCCAAGAAGCCTGAAAAGAAAAATGAAATAAAGAAAGATAATGGCCAAAAAGGCCAATTTGGTCTCAGTATCAGCTAAGATGTGTCCATTAACACGCGTGTCCCTGAGCAAGGACCTGAACCGTACCTCGTACGTCTCATGATGAGAAGGTTACAGACATGTCGATGCATGGGATGAATACTTATAATTGCAGCTGAACATACGATGATCCGACATTGTGAATCTTAAGTCTCCCTGTTTTCTTCATGGTGAAACGGTGGGTGTAAGGTATAAAGTTGGTTGTGAGACTGGGTCTGACCTTCGCCTTATAATGACACAGCAGTACTGCCATTCCTTTAGAAATCATCTAACATTGGCGTCATTATTAATGAACTCGTGTGCTTTTTACCGAAGACAACAGTAAAGTGCCCCTGCTGTCATTAAATGGGCGAAACCAAGGCTCCGTTTGAAAGAAACGTCCCTCAGTAACACGTCCATGCTTGTTTGCAGATGCTGCACCAATGTCACCTGGGCTTTAAAAAGCAAATGTTATTTGCCCACTTCTTTCCAGCCTGGACAACCTGACAGTCAATATGTCAGCTTTTTCACCGAAATACAGTCTTCACTGCTAACGATTCTGTCGGAGATGAAGCCAACCCAAAAACCAGAGTGGCACACCTTTGAGCAGAGTAGTTCAGTGAAGGAATACTGATTCATACTGGACTGATTGCCTATAAGGTTTGGCTTACTTAGTCCATTGAATTACTGTCATCGTTTCAGCCTGTGATCAAACCCAATGGACCAGAAGACACTCGCCTCAGACTGTCGAGTGGCAGCGAGGATCGCAGCCATTCCCAACACGGATGTTTTACCAGTTCCTCTCTGAATCAGGATAAGAGTCATTTGGTGAATTAAAGTAACCATACAATAATTCATCTATTGCGTCAATGTAAATGTGGATTTCTGCTCTTACTTCGTTGGGCAAGTCGATCACAAATCGCCAAACAAACTGTTCTAGCTACATTTCAATCGTACCGATCAATAAGACATTTATATTTGTTTGCCTCTCCTTTAAGGGTTCCATTTTTTGCATCTGAACTGGAAATATCCCTACAGCTATTAGCTTTTACTACTTTGTAAGGGGCCTCCATGCTGCCACTAAAAGCATCAACAGGAGACGGGATTAGGTTGGTTTTTTTTTTTCTCCGTTGCTCAGCTAATGCGCTTTTGTCGTGGCCACACAGAGATGTGTATCAATAACCCGGCAGCAGCTGCGGTTGTGATGCTAGGACGGCAAACAGCGCACGTGGGCCGTGCAGAGGCGATCCTCCGGGGAGGAGAGGCGAATCACAGAGCTAATCAGCGGCAGCGAGGACTGTGGAGGCGAAGGCAAGTGCAACATGAAAGTGATGCTGATGGAAGCCGGCACTGGAAATTGGGAGAAGATCAGGAGACACCCTTACTTAAGGAAGCTGTTTCCTCAGCCTGGAAAACTTTGATTTAACGTAATGGAGTCCTCATCGAGAGGGTATGAGAAAGAGAGAAGGAAGTGGGAATGTGGGTTTTGTCCTGCTGGAAGGCGTGGAAGGAAGCTGAGAGGATTGGAATTATATTTGGGTGGAAAGTGGTGGACAACAGCAGCTGTGAAAACACCTTCCTATATTCCCTGAATCAATGCTCGCTCTTGTTCTCTGATGTTCGCACAGAAATGTTTGGGCTTGCGTAACAGCATCTTTATTAGCGTCCCAGGGGCGTAGATAGCAGGTAAATTAATACTAATTCTATGCAGAGACGTACAAATTAGCCTGCTTTTTCTTGCAGCGGCTTGTTAGCGAGGAACACACACAAATAGACTCGCAGGCAGACGTTAGCATCCCTCCCTTACACATATGGGTATAACCAAACACGACAAACCTCCCCTCCCCCAGACGTACATACAACAAACCAACATGTGCACACATGAACACACCTCTTAATCTCCCAGCAGCACAAACCCAACGAGGGAGTGAGTTATGAAGTGTGAGGACTTGGCTCGGTATCACAGGGGAGGCCACCTCGCCGCTTCTCCGCCTCTTAATTAGTTTGGCCCGCTTGCATTTTTATTCATGTGTCGCGGGGAGTCCGAGTCGATAATCTATTCACTCCGATATTGGGAGACAAAACTCGGGCCGGTGTGAGAGAAAGGGGAGGGGGGGGGGGGGGAGGGGGGCAGCGTCTCTCTTTCAAACGATTCACCCGCGGCGCGTCTCTGAGTGGCATCCCACGCATCTCAAAGCCCCCCTCAGCAGAACGTTTTTATCGGCTCGGATGCCGGTGGCTAATAACGTATCGCTCCCCCCGTGCCCCTGCGTCTCAAACACCTTCACGATACATCACCCCCCCCTCCCCGCGCCCTCCATCCCTCTGAATGAAGACGCCATATGGCCCCTCAATAGGTGCTTATATACGGAGACGTATCGACGCGCATCCGGCGCGCTGAGGCCCCTGATGACAGAGTGCTTGGGCCGCGCCGGCACCTGCCACGGAGCGCCGGCCAAGTCGGCGGGACGCAGAGATGAAGATGAACTGAGCAGCAGCAAAAAATAAAAATAAAGCCCCCCCCCTTCTCCACCCACAGCCCACGCCGTGCGGCTGATTTACAAGTTATGGCCTTTTTCTCCTTCCTTCCCGCTGTCATTGAAAGCAGATTAGATGGGGCAGATTACTTCAGACATCAAGCATCACGCGGCCGATGCGTCACGGCCGTCGCTCACGGCGACGCCTCTTTTCCGTGGGGGGGCTTTCTGGATGCGTTCGCGGTGGGAGAAAAAACACCCCCGTGCCTTCCTGGCGTCCAGCCTCTTCCTCAGCCTCTAACCTCCATCCCACACTCAACTGACGCCCCCTCCCCCTCCCACAAAAACCCTTTGCTCCCTTTCTTACCATGTCTCTCTCTCCCCTTTTCTATCCTCCTCTTTTCTTTATCGCCAAGTTGTGAATGGCAGCCAATCAGGGGCAGAGTCGCCTCAGCTTCAGCCTCGGTGACATCCACCGCCAGAAGTGATGCACTGCAAGAGAGAGAGAGAGGGGAGGGGATGGGGGGGGGGGCAGAAAGAGAGAGAGGGAGAGACAGAGAGACAGAGGGGATGATAGAAATAAAGTGTAGAGGAGGAAAGGGAGAGAAGCCAGAGAGCGGGGAGGAGAAATGGAGGGAGGGAGGGCAGAGCGACTGAGACGATCTCTCCCTCTCCCTCGCTCTCTCCTCCTCCTCTCTCTCTCCCCCTCTCTCTCCCCCTGTCTCTCTCCCTCCCTCCCTCTCTCTCTCATACACATTCGCACCAGCTGTGCCGTTGTCAGTCTTGGAATGTAAGCACTGCCGCGAGGAGTCAGGTTCTCCCCCGCTAAGCGCTGCTAAGGACCTCAGTCAGTCACACACACGGATGCTAAGCTGTCTGAATCAAAAGGTAAGGGCTTTTTTTTTTAGATTAAGATTAATGTTGATGGATGTATTTATATTTTGTCTGCCTGAAGACACCGGAAAAGGATGATCTGCATCCCACGAAAAGAAGTGCTGCAACTTCAAAGATGTTGATAACGGATAAATGAAGCATGATTGGATCCACAGTTCGATTCCCCCGATCTGGACATTTGTCTACAGATTTCTTTTTTTTTTCATGTTGCTTAAAAATGAAGGAAAAAAAAAAAACTTATATATAGTGACGCTATTGTATATTCTCAATAGTCTCGAAAATATAAACTTTGAGCCAATTATTGATGCCTGATAAACCAAATGACTTGACTGGGAATTGAACAGCATTCTTCCGTGACCTCAGTCACACAGAGAATTACACGACTATGTAACTTTAACATTATCATTTCATCGCTTGGGATCATTTTGTGCTTTTCAGCATCAACTTAGTCACCGTTGTCCTAAGTGCGTCGCAGGCTCATGCTCTGCTTCTTTGGATCTTATGTACGTAGACAAATATACTCGGCACGTCGGCAATATATAAATGAATCTGCTCTTGTGTGTGCACCTGTTCAAGTGACCATGCCAAGCTCTGTGTGTGTGTGTGTGTGTGTGTGTGTGGATGCCTTCGCCTGTCTGCTGAGATGCACTGAGGGTGAATGATGCTTGGGATGTGCTCTGGGCAGATTTGATGGAGAGGCGCTGTACCGTCCCTATCTCTGAAAACGCACGGAGGTGTTTACGGTGGTGCCGGAGCAGAGTTTCTACACGTCCATATCCTCCGCGGCGCAAACTTAACCCTCCCCTTCCTCTCCTCGCCCCCCACCCCCCTCCCCGAACCGCCTGAAGGTTCTCCTTGGGTGTGCCGCCTGCATCGCAGTCACTAAAGTGATGTATGAGGGTGTAGTAGTGTGCACCGGGTCATCCGTGTAACACCATCGCTGCTTAGTGCAAATTAGCCACTAACGCGTTCCCCGAATTATAGTCAGATACGGAGTGACCTTTCAGCGTGGAGATGAAAGGCGGTGAAATCCATTCTCACACACGGGCACAGAGCTCTCACGAGCATTCGCACGGCTGGCTCGAAAGGATTAAACACCAATATTAGAAAATAAATGAAAAGTGATGTGCACATTTGTGAGAAAACAGTGAGCAACAAGGGGGGGAGGTCGGCTATTTCCTCGACAAAATAAAGGAATTAATATGGACATTTTGGTCAGTTTAAATTGTAGCGTCTTTGTATTCCAACGGTGTCTTTTGCCAGAGTGTATTATCTGTGGTGGCCTTGCTAAACCTTCGCATAGTGAGACAGATGCTAGGGTTAATTAGTTATTATTGCCTTTTAAAATGCATACAATCCATTACCGCCCTTTATTTTTTTAAATGGAGTGGATTTGATGTTTAAATGTCCCTTCCAACATGTCTCTTTTCAAGAAAGAAGCCTCCCCCTTCCTTCCTTTTAAAGCTTTTCAACAAGTACGTATCACAAAATTGCTTAAAGGATTTCAAAACATGAGTAAAGCTCGCTGAGGTCTGCCAGAGCCGGCGGGCCGGCGGAGGCCGACTGGGAAGCTCTAGGGCTCCACCAAGTGGAGGTTTGGGCGGGTGCTGCGTCTCGGTACATCCGACGCCCCCCAGGCTAGATTTACGCTCCGTCTGTGCTGCTCCGTCAATACCAGAAAGCAATCACTGGAGCTCCTCAAACTGCCAATCACAAGACACTAGTCCTCTGCACCTGGCTCGCAGGCGCGCGTGGCGTTTGCCGCTGAACCCACCGGCCGTAAATCAGGGTCCGTGGACTCGAGGGGTGCGTCCAAAGCACCCGAACCATAATCACGGCACCGCTTTTATGACCTTGCATCCATCTTCGTCTTCATCTGTCCCTGTTTGATGAGTCCCACACACATTCACTTGTTCCTCAAAAAGTGAACCTATTTTGAATCTATTTTGAATGGCAGTTTGTAATTGATTTTTAATGAGTAAATGGTATTTGAGATGGTTTATGCTGAGAGCAACTCTGCACATGTGCAATAATGTGTGTGTGTTGCTTCTATTTTTATGATCATGTGCAGTAAACCACAAGGAACTGCGTTGAAAAGCTTTGAAAACGCGACCTATTATGCCCTGAGTTCACTAAACGCTGCTTCGTGGTTAAAGTGCAACGTTAAGTTCAAACCAATGCAGACAGAGTGGAACGCTATAAATAGTCTGAGCCAAAGGTTGCACCAACATGCGGCACAGATGGTCCGTTTTAGGTGTTTGTGTTCCCCTGTGTATCGAGGATTACATATTTAGTATGCAAGACCTCTTGAAAAAAGGTTTGTGTGCAGCCGCAGACTTGCATTGCCCCACTAAAGCCATAAAAGTGCTTAGTTGCACAGCCGGGTTTAATGTTGGTTGGAGAGCCTGCTTGTGAAATTTTGGGATGCATGTGCACACAAATTGATACAGACTGATATGCGAGGCCGTGTTTTTCCAGGGAGAATATCCTGATGAACAGCTAGTTTATATCTGATCAAAGATATTCTTATTCAGCAAAACAAGAATGTATAATTTTGTGGATTACAAAAAATGGAGCAGAGCCGAGCTCCTGCCAGAATATGTGTCAGCCGAGATTAAGAATAACAGCCCTCGACAACACTTATTTAACTCGTTGGTCCCTTCACATTGCTGGTGTTAATGCCGAGCCATATTAGCTGAATCTAATCATAAACAACTTTTTTAATAAACCCCCACCATTCAATGGGTTTAATGAGTAAGGATAATTCGGGCCGGGTCTATAGGATCTGGCATTGATTCAGCTCACTCATCCTTTAATGGAGTTTGGTAGAATTCTGAAAAGACACACTGGCCCTAACGCTTAATAGGCACACCACATCAAAGATTAATATCCAGAATGCTATTAAAACTCAAGGACAGGCTGGAATGATAATTAGAAAATGCAATCACAAGCATCAGACTAGATTAATTGCAAGGCGGCGTTTCCTGATTTTCGGGACCACACTTGTCACACTCATGCCACATTATGGGCGTGCACAGAGAAAATAACATTAGAAATGTAATCCGTGGCAACACAATCTACATTTGATCTCTTCTAATGCCGCAGCCGTACTTTGACAAAGTTCAAATCCTGTCAGGGGGAAAACACAGCTGTGATGTATCATCACGTTGTGGAGTTCAGCGTGTTCATTACATGTAGATTGTGGAGACGTTTGCTTGGTTCCAACATTCTTCTACATGCCTTATTTTTTTTAAATTCTAAAGGCAATATTCATCCATTAAAAACGTTCAACTTTCACACAAAGTATCGCGAATACTTGAAAATCAATGCTGATTGAACGTCTTCACCCCGGTGGGAACCGTCTGAGTGTCTCAACACGAGCGATATGAGCAACGTTTTTCGCCTGAGATCTCATCAGCTGGCTCATTTGATTTTCTATATGCCGCACTTCACTCCCACCGACGGGGCCGCGGCGCTGATTTTGCCACGGACGGTAACGAGCCCTTTGTCCTCGTAAACACTTGCCCTGACGACGCGGTTGTCGTTAAAGGGCTCTGAACAAAAAGCGAAGGAATTGCTAAAGTAGCACGTGCTAAAGTCTGCTCGACGCTCCCCGGAGGTTCGACGGCGGACGCTGTCGCCAGGACTCCTCGTGCAGTGACCCTTCTTTAGAACGCAGGACAAGATTTATGAGGATTAACTTCCCATGGACCCTGAATTATGCATGCGCACCCGAATGACCTAAGTGAAGTATCAGGGGGAGACGACCGAAAGCAGATAACAGCCTTTCATTCTGGCATTAGTCACACGTTGCACACAGAGCGCCATGCGATAGGTTGTAAAGTACCTTTCTATTGTGTGATGCTTCTAAATGGAAACCATAGGCTGACGACAAATCCTTGAAGAACTTTCATCAAAAAGGGAAGAAAACAGTGATGAAAACACGGCGCTTGAAGAAGAAGCCTTTTGATGTAGCGCATTGGGAGTAATACAAATATATGCAAGGCTCCGTCCGTAACGTATGCATGGACAAATTGCAGTGGAAACCTTGGAGAAAAATGGGTCAGGGGATGAATAAAAAAAAAAAGAAAGAAGACATCTTTAGAAAGACAATGCATGTCTACACGCGGCGGCGAAGGTCGCTCTGCGGCACCGTCAAGATAAAGTGGAGCGTTTAACAGTGGGGCCTTTTACTCTCATTCTGCTGTGCAAATCATCGGTAATGCAACTTCTAATTAGTGAAGTGCTGCTCAACCTTTCACTACTCAAATACAAGGAAGACATGCAGTTGAAGCTGCAGTTTTTAAACCTTTGACGAGTGCACTGTGGCGACTGAAGTTTTTTATCGATTGCTTTTTGTTTTTTGTTAATCACTTTCTTAAAACGACTATTATTGCAGTAGGTCGTCGTATAAGATTATTAAACCTCGGTTGATTAGTGCGTTCATTAATGTTCATTATCATTTCTTTTTCATTTAGCAAAACCTACATTTAGATGTTTGTTCTGTTCCTGATCAAGGGCAAAACCAATCACTGAATTAGCACTTTTGAGCTCTCCGACACGCTCAAAATGCACCTTTGCTGATTGCACAATCAGCTCCCCCGATGAAGCATATATTGAAAGAGACACAAGGCCTTTGTGTACAAAAGTGTCGTCCCATTGTGGTCCGCGTGCTGCCTCAGTGTTCCTTCTGCCACGCTGGCTTTTCAAGCCGATTGTGAAGGTGATGCAGAAGTGCTTCTTCACCGATGTTCTGTCTTTTCACAGGAAACTCAAGGACATCGAGGAGAGGAATACAATGTCTGTACTGTTGACGCTGCCTTCCAGTCTTGGTCCAATCGCAAGTTCATCGCCTTAATTCAGAAGTCGTCCGGGAGCGTTCGCCAGCCGATCGGGTACCATGATAACCGATCGGGTCGTGCTGCTGCTGGTGCTCTCCGTCCTGTGGCCCAGCACCGCCCTGCCTTTCACGCCTGGGAATATCGGGAATCTGTTTGGGATGCCAGACAGTGACGGCAGGACTCTGCAGCGCTCCAAACGGGGATGGATGTGGAATCAATTCTTTCTGCTGGAGGAATACGCAGGAAATGACCATCAATACGTCGGCAAGGTAACGTGCCCCTGCCCATTGTGTGCAGAGTAATTACAGACGGTTTAGCTCGTCCGAGTAGTGTCTGATGTAATTGGCTGAAGACGAACGGTCTGCCGGAAAGCCGGCTGTTAACCGGAGCTATCGGATACACGTGAAATGCTCTCTTTTACAGTCTTTATGTACTCGGCTTCTCTTTCTCACGTCCTTCGCTCAATAAAAAACAACATACTAACGTACTGTGAAAGATAACGGTGTTCAGTTGGGGTTAAGCAGGTGTCGCTAATGTAAAAGTAATATCGCGCCGTTGCAACAACAAAATGAGGTGTATTCAACGGTAAAGATGAACTTGTTTCAGATCAGTCAATGAAACCAAGTGTGCATGAGTCATGAGCCAAGTAAAGCCTGTTCAACAGACTGGATTTATATTTCACTTATTAAATAAAAACACTTTGTGGAGGTGTGTGGGCATCATGGTTTTAAAACCCCAAAACAAGTGGCAGGCTGGCGGTAAAAATAAAATAACAACACATTGAGTAGGAGTTTGAACAAGGTTCAAGTTTGATAATTAATATCAGTTCACGGCCGTGCTGGTCCAGCTCGAAACGCTCAAATCCGACTCCCGTGACCAAATTCTAAAACTGCAGCTCCTGCAAGACCCTTTTCTCCAAAAAGAGAAGAGAAAAGAGAGTTCCGGCACAAAGCTCCCCATCCGCAGCCACGCAGATCAGAGAGGTTCCTGTCAGCTCAGCCATGCTAGCACCACGGAGACAGGTGTGATGAGGAACGCTTCGGTTACAACTCCAGGGAGGGAAATGAGGTGGCTGTCGACAGACAAATTTTCTCAAAGGAAGCTCGCTTTCATCACACACCTCATTCTCCGGAGTAAACAAGTGTCTGGTCCAAGGTTGAGTAGGGGTGTGGGGGGGGGGGGGGGGTATGACAACTTCCTTTGCAGAAACCATCATCCTGATGTGGCGAAGAGGAAGGAGCGGCAAAATTTAATGGAATAAGGAGAAAAGGATTCGGTGAGAAGAAAACATATCAATCAGCTCGGGCCGATGGAACTCACCTCGTTGCGTGAAGCGCCGCCGCAGCAAAGCAATCGCTGACTATAAACGGGGCCGTCCGTTGGCACGTCAGGGACTGCTGCAATGTGGCTTTCTCACTCGACTTTGTGATGCTCTCTGGCATCCAACTTCTGCGGCATGACAGCAATCACATCCGCCGGCTCCGCGCGCCCCCTCCGTCCAATATCACTCACCATTAAACTGTCGGGGAAACATGAGGCTGTAATAAATTACCAGCAGAAAGAAATAGGGCAGACCTAGCGCGATCCGTATCGCTAATTCAATCAACGCCGGAGCTCTCCGTGCAGAGACGCACCGGGACGAGGACGGGGAGACGCTTATACGTGAAGGGAGCGAGATAGATGGATGGAGAAAGAAGTTATTGGGAAAATACATCAATAACTAAAATAACCTTAAAAAACCAAAACAATAAGATGAATGGACAGAGAGAGAATGCGGATGGATGGATGTTGGAGCCGCAAAGATTAGACAACTCATCGATAAATCCATCCGCCGGAAACTAATCCCCTGTGTTGACAACTGACTAATAGTTTGGGTCATTTTTCAGGCAAAAAGGTCAACCTCCATCTCGTTCCAGCATATAAAGACGTGCTGCCAGCCTTCGCTTTATATCATCCGTAATTTAGTGTCTGTGGGTTGCAGAGTCCTGGGTGAAAATAAAAGGATTTTCCTTTAACTAATCACCGCAGGCTGTGTGACGGCTATTATTCTCTTGTAAGTTGCAACTGAAAAAGAGCCTGTAAATAGAGGGAACAATGGCCGGATAATGACGCTGGCAGAGGAACAAATGAGAGGTAAACAGAAAGAGGCATGAAGCACTTTCATGTCCAGCACGAAGCCATCAAAGCCCCGACGGCCGTCCTCCTGAAGATCATCGAATGGCCTTCGCTGTGCACCGCGGGGGGTCTTGTTTGTTTCGCATTCACTCAGACCTCTCCAATCAACCCCGCCGACACTCGCCCACTGTCACTTGCGGCTGATTTCTTGATTACGAGAATCTGGTCTGATGTAAAGCCGCGCTGGGTGAACGGCTGGCGTTTGGGCTGAAAGCGACCAAGCGGCGTTCAATGAATGCAGCTCGCATTGCTCGTCGAGGGGCTCGGAAAAGAAAAATAAAGAACCGCTGCTCTGGAGCTCACGTCCTCTTCCGAATGATGAGGAGGAGACAGAAGAAGCCGCGCCGGTTAGCGGAAGGTCCCGAGCAACTTGCTCGGCTGGTATTCGGTCGGCCCCGGGGGGGGAAAGAGCGGCGGCGTGTGCTCGATGCCTGGAAGCACGCTATGCGGCGGCTGTGCGCGCAGCGAGCGCCAGGGCGTCGAAACCTTCGGCGGGGGCCAGTAATGAGTGCGAGCGCTCACTGTGTGCAGCTGCGGTGCCCTACTTCTTAAGCAGGCCTGTGAAGTGTGAGCACTCGCAACGCTGAGCAATACGACCGCAAACTTTGGATTCCGGAGCATCTGAGTGGCGTGTTTGAAGTGAACTAAATCCTATTAAGCTCCCGCTGCACCCGCATTGTCTTCCGCCTTGAAGAGGAAAAGTGCTGCTCCAAACAAGAATATGCAAGTTAGCTCACTTTGTCTTGGTAATAATTTGCCGCGTGAGCATCCGACGCGTTTCTCCATGAAGAAACTACCGATCACATGAGCTGCGCTGCGTGACGTTAACCCGGTAACACGCACATACAGTGTTACAGTACTATGTCACTAGAGACTGAGGAAGAGCAACGCTGTGTTCATTCTACACTCTATTTCGCTATCTCCGCTCTGCAGCAGCGAGCAATGCTTAGCTGAGACCTGCACAGAATTGCCAATGATTTTGCCGCTTTGCTGACAATTCCTGTTTGTGCGAGGCGATTTAAGTCATCAAGGCTCTCTTCTGTGCCGCTGTTGTAAGGCCTTAAAAAGGCTGTGTTTTCGCTGGGCGGCCTTGACAGGAGAGCCACTAAATCCCCGCAAATATAGTGTGGCGGTGCGAACATTTGATTCTGTTAAGAGTGTGTGAAAAACAACCACAATCTGTCATCAATGCCAGTTGTTCTTTGTCTGGATGTACTAGATGTAATGGATTCACAACACGTGTTAGATTTCCCTTCGACATAAAGAACCCGCTTCTTTTTAGGCCAATACAAATTTAATATACTATTACACTTATATACAGAAAAAAATATCTCTGAACAACTTTAAACATGACATAATGCATTTATGAAAAAATGAAATAATCCATGTGGTGCAAATTTACACGCTAGATCCAAACGAAGGTCGCTGTTAAGCGCTTCCTCCCCCCCCCCGGCCGTTCCAAGCCGATATGAGCAACACCGAGGAGGCAATAAGCCCGCTGAGGGGCCACCCAGAACCGGCTCCCGCCAGGGGATCCTCGCCCGCCAACGAGAGAGAGGCCGTAACACACTGCAGTAAAAGGAAATTCACAGCCACGAATGAAACGAAAGACCTTGTGAAAAGCAATCCCACAAAATAATTGTATCTTTCTTGTTTCCATAATAGTTCATAATAGGAAGCGAAAAACAAATTGATATTGGATATTTATATATATATATATATTTTTTTTTACAGTCTCATAATAACTGTATTGCTCTGCCAAAACTCTCCTCATTTGCTTTACCACTCCCTATTAAATCTATGCGCCCACGTGCAGAAGACCCGTGTCCCCCCGATGATTAGGGAGCTGAAGTTATGCTGCATCCAATAATTAGTAAGAGTGTATGCAGCAGTACGTAGACCAAGGGAAGGACGTGAAATGCACGCCACGAGGTTCTGCAAAGGCAGTAAAATCCCTATTATCATATAGACGGCCTGGCAGCGCAGGGCGCCAGCTCCTTTGATGGTTCGCTGTTTGTACTTTCCGTTGCTCGGGTTTCTTTTTACGGGATTAACGGCCAAGACCAGATATGTGGTTATAATCACAGAAAACCCACTGAAGAATGTGATCAAACGATTTCGGAAAAACATGTGATTGTTGTGGTCGGACTGGGGCTGAAACAGTAATGGTGTAATTATCACGCTGGGAGCAGAGAGGAGTGTTTTAATGGGAACCGAGTGTCGGGCATCGCTCTGTGAGCCCGCTGTGCAACCTGCAGCCAGTATGCATTGCAAATACATACGCAATGCACATAGGGAGTCAATTCCAATGCAAACAATGGTGCGCTTTCCCGCTCAGCGAAATTAGCAGCATCACTCATACTCAACAACGGCAGCGGCCTTCGCACACACAGCGCGTCATAAATCCTCGGCTCCGCTCAGGAGTGAATTCCTATTCACAAACAATGAATAGAACTCCAACGCACCAGAGCATCCAAGCCGACTGATGTTCCTCTTTAATAGACGTCGGATGATGGAGTTCACCTGCGTGGAAATGTTTTTCCAGACACAACGGCCTATGTTGAAATGAACAATGTGCGCAGTATTCGCACATTGTTCATTTCAACTCGACAGCGTCTGGTTTCCACGCGCACGCCGTTTCTTTTTGCTTATTGAGGAAGGCTGGCAACACGTCTCAGATTTCCATTCAAAGGTGTACTGTTGACATCACTTTTCCAACTGCGGGGAAGAAATAATTAGGTCCCTCACAGCACGCGGACATTAATATTAATACTTTGCTGACGAACATTCTGAGTCTCTAACTACTTGTCATTTGAAATGAGATCGCATTCTAAATATATCTGCTGACAGATCCCGTGCAGTAATGAGCCTGAATCAAGCGTCTGTCACAGCGAGCCGCCATTACTCCTCCATGACGCTGGCGTCCGCTCGGCGGAGACGGATAGGTCAGAGGGGACGCATTGTAGCAGTTGTTGCTGTGGGTCACGTTTTCATCATTTTCCAAAGGCAAGAACTAATGGAGCGTGTCTCTCTGGACACTGTGGGGGCCGAGGCTGGAGGCGGAGAGCCACCTGACCCTCGGTGGGTTCGGTCCACGGCGTCAGAGATCACGAGGACGTCTCAATGTTTTCATACATCTCGACCACGGCCGAGCAGAACGTTCAACTGTTCCAACTGTTGGTGTCTGGTAAATGAACTTGGGGATTTGTAGGACACACGCTTTGGTTTGAGTGTAGAGACACAAGCAGAAATAGCTAAATTAGCCAAACTGAGAGGCACGTGAGGAGGCTAGAGTCCCTGAATGTCACCTGAAACTGGTGCTTGCAATAGTTTTCAATTAAAAATGAAACCGAGAGAGAAGGGAGAGAATTGGCAACCAGGGCATACAAATTAATTTAGATATCCAGAGAAAGACCCCTTTGTCAGCGTTTGTATTGTGTACCACACTCAAAAACAGCACGTACTACTCAAATATACTTGCAACAAAGAAGACAATCAAGTGTTAATATGTGGCGAGGTGTTTAAGGGCAATGCAATGAATGTTTTTCAGTGGATTTGAACCTCACACAGCTACGCATCGCTGCCGCTCCACTCGGTCCTATAAAGGTGTGTGTGTGTGTGTGTGTGTGTGTGTGTGTGTGTGTGTCGTGTCCTCAGCTGCACTCCAACATGGACCGAGGCGACGGCAACGTGAAGTACGTCCTGACCGGAGACGGCGCCGGCAGCCTGTTCCTGATCGACGAGAAGTCCGGGGACATCCACGCCACCAAGAGGCTGGACCGGGAGGAGAAGGCCATGTACTCGCTCAACGCCAAGGTGCTGGACCGCAGAACCAACCTGGAGCTGGAGCCCGACACCGAGTTCAACATCAAGATCCACGACATCAACGACAACGAGCCAAAGTTCGCCAAGGAGACCTACTTCGCCAGCGTCCCCGAAATGTCCGAAGTTGGTACGTTGTGGTTGATGTTATTTTGGAGATGTTTTAGATGACGATCCGCTTTTGGTTCCAGTTGTTGTTATTGTGATGATAAGTTAAACAAGTAAGCAAGAAAACAATAATTGTATAAACCTATAGATCTGGTAGTAATTGGTTCATTGTTTGAAAAGCATATGGGGATCTATAATTAATAGCACGGTGGAAGGCAATTAAGGAGAAGCAAAAGAGCGCATGGTGTTGCTCATCAGTGCGATGGACCGGCCTATTGTGGCGCTGCATTCACTCCGTCAAAGTCATTTATTCCTTGTGTGATTATTTGTTTGGCCGGGCTCATTGGGCATTCATAACAAGTAGTGCCATTTGCTGTTTTTAATAGGCAGTAGAAACATGGAAAGTTTAGATTGTCAGTCTTTCCAATTAAGGATTTGCTTCATTGAGCTTTGCTTCATTCCAATCAAGTCATATAAATAAACCAATTGGCATCAATATAAACAAAGCTTATGTAAATAGTGCGTGAGGGCATGAAATCAATCCTCAATTATGCAACAAAAAAAAATAATTCACAGTAGCAATCAATGGTCTATCAAGAGCCAATTGCCTCCATGCCACTCTTTGGGATTCATGCACGTTGAAGCACTGTTGTCATAGAAGGGAAAAGAGGCGCAGGGTCACCGCTGCTCATCTCTGGGCCTTCGTCTTATGTTTAGACCCAACAAACCGGTTAATAAAGCAGGCCAGCCATGAACAACCTGCAGCCCCCCCTCCCCTCCCCCTCTATGCCATCAGTGCTGGGACTAAGTGGGACAGATGTTCAAGGGTTCATTAGTATGCACGGAGACAGTCAGAGACCCAAACAGGACACGCCAGAGGTCTCCTGAATGCCAAGGACAGTATCTGCAGCGCGGCGTTATTGAAACGCTCGGGTGGATCATGCAGGACTTCAACTGCAGGATGTCTGGGAGCAACTGAGCCCTTTTCTACTATTCATTTTTATCCATTTAGCACTGGAATGGCACATATCCAAGCACCTATCAGTGCTTGTGGATGCATGTGTGTATTATTCGTGAGGGGAAAGTGCTTGGAGATTTAGGAACAGTGTGAGTGATGCTAGTTTCATATTGCCAAATAACACTTCCAACCCCGGCTGCCGGGTGTAATCTCTGCAGGAAATACGAAAGGCATCGTCTCTGAGCACAGTAATTCTCTTCCAGCTCCTCAGTGGAAGCTCGTCAGTATTTATCTAATGCTGCCACACCTTGGACTCTGACAACAGAGGTCAGGGAGAAATGCTTCAGTAATACGACCTTGCTACGCTCACAGCAGCAATGGTATTATGCACAAGATTATGCAAAGGTACATTCTTTACTCTCCGAATTTAAATCTAATTACAACATTTGCCGTAGTGAGAATAAAGTACAACAATATAGTGTTTCATTAGTTGGGTTGACGACACGTTGAGAAATTTCAGCCGCTGTGCAACAAATGCGTAATGGTTTTGTTAAAAATGACACGGATCACACTCATAAGCTACGCGCTGCCAATGACAAGAAACTGACTGATGAGACCAAAATCTTTGCATTAGTACTTTAAATTAGTGATTATCAACTGTTTCTAGCGAGTGTTAGGACTTTACACGGGTAACTTCTCTGATATTGCTGTGACTATGTCTCATTTAACTCAACAAAAACTCAATATTACATTCAAAGCCATCAGGAGACCTCAAAGGAGCCTGCGTAAGTTAGCGGTTGGCTCGGTTGCTGCAGGCTCTGCCTTCACTTCATGGCATAATTAATATTTTCACTAAGATGACCCTGCCTCTCTGCAGCCAACTCATTAGATTCACACCAGTGGCAGTTTATTTGACACGGAACTAAAGATTTACTTATTGCTTGCTCTAAAGGTCGTTTTTTCTTTTTAGAGCAAATTCTCTGCATGAGAACAAACTAATGAACAAAGTGCATACGAAGTCAATGTTAAGTCAGTTCAATGCATGTATGTATGTATCATTGCTCTGGCATTAAACATGCCTTTGCATGCCCTCTTTGCAGGTACATCTGTTGCCACAGTAACCGCTAACGATGCCGACGATGAAACGTATGGGAACAGTGCCAAGCTGGTATACAGCATTCTGCAGGGACAGCCATATTTCTCTGTGGATTCTGAAAATGGTAAGTCGTACCCAGTGTGTAAACCAGCCTGATCTCTAAAAACTGTTCGTAACAATGTATAAGAAAATTTTGAACATACAAATTCGTAGTGACACACACTAAATAAATACGGACTGCAACTGATGACGTCGCCCTACTCAAAGTGAACGGGGACCTGCACTTTGTGAAGTCTAACCATGTAAGATAAACGTGTTATGATTGTATTTTTAACATGAAATCAATGTTAAATTATAAGAATAGAATACTAAAATACTAAAAATCCAACATGGCGGAGAGACGTTCACTCAAGAATCCAACACGGTCCGCCATGTTGTTCACTCAAGGGGCGTGGTTAACCACCGCCAGTCCTATGTATTGTTACAAATTTGTATGTTCAAGATTTTCATATACATTTTTACGAACAGGTTTTGGAGATCACGTTGGTGTAAACAGAGCTCCCTCGCACTGCCACAAGAGCTTCTGAGACTCCAACAAGTGCAATAAGGATTTATTTGAAGTCGGGACCTGATTGCACAGAGTACATTCCATTTAGGGACACGACGACAGGATTATTTTTTTCAGCCGAAATGTCAAATTCTGTAAAAGTGTGTATTTCTAATTGTTCTAGTAAAATATGTATGTCTAAATGTCACAAGCTGTATAATAACCTGAATCCAGAGGAACAAGATAGTTTCAAACCAGAAGGGTACTTAGCTCCATCGGTGCCACATAGTCATCACAAAGCATTTCATAACCAACTAAAGTTTCTAGATGCAAAGGTCCAGAACATCATAATGTAACTATTTAGTGTGATTAAATAGAGGGATAGAGTTGTATCAACATCTGCATTTAATCAATGCAACGCTAACAAATCAAATGAAGAAGAAGAACTCAACATATATGTGTGACTGCGAAAATAAGTAATGTTCTCTCAGTTAACTAAATAAGAGTAGGGCTGCATTAAAAAAGAATTCTGCATGCTTCAATTCAGAAAAAATAAAATAACGTGAAGATGAGCTTGAATTTCTCCTTGTCTGCTTCACATTTGGACTTATAAATAATAAATCTGAACAATTGAACAGTTTAATAGAACTACTTCTAGAATTAAATTGTGTTTTGACCATAAAAAGCCTTTTCTTGGAAAAAAAGATGTAAAATGAATGAATGTATTTATTTAATTGGTAATTGTCTCGTTTTTTCACATAGCCGATCTGTTGCATCTTCACATCTAGAATGAGTTTGAAGTTATGACAGACATTTGAATACGAAGCGTTTCCTCGAGGTGGGTGACCGAGTTGGTTTCATCTCTCAGCGTGACATAGTGGGCAGCAAAGGGAAACAAGGATGTGTGTCTTTGACACGGATTCAGGAAAAGAAAAGAAAGAACTACGTTGGTCAACAGAGACTGTGACCGGAGCAGCTGGCCTTCATTTAAATGCAGCACGGCAGGAGTCATCTCTGACCAAAAGGCCTTTGTTCTTCGACACCAGGAGCCTCGCCTGTGGTTAGACTCAATGTTCTGAGCTCTGCAGGCATGTAAACCCAGACCACTTCCTACCACATGGATTCTAAACATAAACGTAGCGCGCGTGAAAATAGGAAAGTGTTGCCAGGGAACAGAATCCGAGCAGCAATTACACTTCCCCTTAAAATGTAATTGGAACCAAAATAGTAGTATATAGATGCAATATCCGGAGACATGGTTCGGCACGGGGATGAAATTGGTGTGACTCTTATCTCATTTTCAATTAGGCAGATTTCATTAAATTGGCCAAAGTGTTGAGAATCATGTTGTTTTCCCCACCAGGCACCATCAAGACAGCCCTGCCTGGCATGGACAGAGAAGTCAAGGAAAACTACCAGGTTGTGATCCAGGCCAAAGACATGGCCGGACAGATGGGGGGGCTCTCGGGGACCACCACAGTCAGCATCACCCTCTCCGACGTCAACGACAGCCCGCCGCGCTTCGCCAACCGTAAGAGTCCTCAGCTCCCGATGCTGCGACGGACTGATATCTCAAACGAGATCTGTAAAAACAAAGTATTAGCGAGCGTGGTGGTTTCACGCCTTCGGCGTTGATATTTTCAAACCCTCAAACAAGTTTCATATTTGATTAAAAGCAGCAATGCATTGTACGTAAAACGATTGCATGGGTTGAGGCAACAATGTGACGCCAGGAACAGAGCAGCAGCCTCTGGCAGACTCTCATTATGAATGAGACAAGCAAAAAGTCCAATTATGGGCTCCCAAACCCCAAGTAGCCGACTGACGACACACGCACGCCCCACCGGTTGTGTCATGACTGTTTCATCTGCTGTCTCAGATTCCTTCCGGGTGACCACCGTGGAGTCTACCGAGATCGGAGGCGCCATTGGACGCATCAAGGCTGATGATCCAGATGTTGGGCGCAATGCTGAGATGGAGTACAGTATCGTCGGGGGCCATGACACATTCAACATTATCACAGACCAAACCACACAGGAGGGAGTCATCATAATAAAAAAGGTCATTTATTCCCCATTTTCTTTTTGGTGCATTAGATTCTTCCAGCTTTACTGCTTTATGCTTTGTGGTCTGCATCCAACATCAAGTGCAGCTGCGGTGAGCAGTCATGCGACTGGGATTTGATTGATGACGGCTGTGCAATCAGACAAACAACTGTTTTCACACAGCTGCAATCAATGGCCTTCAAAAGATGTTGAAGTGTGCCACAGAAAGCCTTTACAGCAAAAACATTTAACAAATGCATCAAGTAACACCACCTGTGCTCATGGAATTTGCATAAGGTCTCCAGCTGTTGACCTTTGGGATTTCCTCTTCATCCTTTACTATATGTTTTAATTAGATTTAATGTGAGCCGTCTTTTTATCGCTTCTCATATACGTTGAGCTCCACTGGGAAGACCGAGTAGAATGGTTTGAGATTACAAAAAGCTCTTTGATAACGTTCATTCGTGTTAGAAAGACATATGACAGAATTTATTTTGGAACTGTGGAGTGAAATCAGATACCCTAAGCCTGTGAAATGAATAATATTAAGCAGACTTTTGGCCAGAAACTCTTTTCAGATTCCACCTGAGATCCCGAGATATTCCTCACATGGATTTATAACTTACAATTGGGAGTATGAATACGATAAACTCAGACAAATAGGATGTAATGAATTGCCTCAGAAATCCTGGAGGCGGACAGAATTTTAAGGAAAAAGTCTGCGGCTTGACTTCTGATGCTCTTTCATCTCCAGGCCCTGGATTACGAAAGTAAGAGGGACTACGAGTTCAGAGTGGAGGTGAAAAACACCTACCTGGACGCCAGGTTCATCCACGGTTTGCAGTTCAAAGACTACGCCACGGTCAAGGTGACCGTGGAGGACGTGGACGAGCCCCCGGTTTTCACCAGGAACCCTTACATCATCGAGGTGCACGAAGACACGGCGGCCGGCAGCTTCGTCGGCGTGGTGTCGGCCAGGGACCCCGACGCCGACACCAAGCCCGTCAAGTACGCTACGCGCTCGCACTGCTTTTCAGCGAACAAATTCAAGTTCTCGCTATTTAGGGAACTTTGGAATTCCTCGGTGGCCAAAGCAAAGATTTTCCAAACCGACCCACGTGGAGAGATTGCCAAATTATGATTGTTTTTAAACTCATTGTCAAAGCTTTATTATATCAGTATAACATCAATGAGTGAGAAAAAGCCACACATGGTAGAATTACAACATTTACAACATTTCCTCTTATCAGTCGTTTTAGCAGTGAGTTAAAAATGTGCCCACTTGGCTTTATCTAATCCATCAGCCTCTTGTCAGCGTGGAGAGGGAGCGCATATTATTCACAGGTCCCTCCTGGTTATTTCCCAGTGGAAGATGGCGGAGGCCCTGTGAAGTGAATACAGAGACACTTTTTATTTCCCACAATTATGTAAGCCCTCCGTGGCACAAAGTGAAAGAGCCTAATTGGCTGTATCGATTCAGCGCAGCCGGTTCCACGCACATGGCGCCTGCCCGTCTCCCGCACAAAGAGACACGCCACTCCCGGCCCATGCCACGTGGCGTGTTGTGTTGCACATTCAAATTTCAGTGAAATATGAGAGCTGACCATGACAAATGAGCAGGCACGAGGAAAGATGCATCGTCGTATCGCGTTTTGGGCGGCGAGTGATGAAGTGGGCAGAACACACTTTTATGCGGCAAAGAGCTGCTTTCGCTCGGACGCCCAGTGAAGACGGATCGGTGCGAGCGGAACAGAGCTCACGTCGCGTGAGCAACGTCACAGGGGTGCAAATACATTTTTAACGTGGGTGTTCTTCTCTCAGGTACTCCATTGATCGGCACACAGACCTGGAGAGGCTGTTCAACATCGATTCTGTGAACGGAACCATCACAACACTGAAAGCCCTGGACAGAGAAATGTCCAAATGGCACAACATCTCTGTGGTGGCCACTGAAATAAGTAATTGACACTGATTGACATTAGTGGTTCTGTATTTTTAGATTCCTGACGTTAAGTGACTCTCTGTCATTGTGCCTTTATCTCAGATAACCCTCGGCAGACCACTCGGGTGCCCGTGTTCATCAAGGTGTTGGATGTCAACGACAACGCCCCTGAGTTTGCCATGTCCTACGACACATTCGTATGCGAGAACGTCAAAGCCGGACAGGTGATTCAAATTTAAGATCCTCTACGTCAACGGGGAGCCGTTTCCATGGTTTTTGGGCAGAGAGCCAAACAGACGTTGGCAGCGATCACCCATAAGTCACCTACCAACATTTGCAGAGGAAATGTCGTGCGTTTCTGACGGATCTGTGTGGGTGCACAGCCATTCACACGTCACAGCGGGGCTGTTTCACTCTACAAATCCTTTAATTATATAAACACTTCGCAACATTTTGCAGATTTGTCTCTAACGGATCTGACTGGCCCAAGTTTACTCAGTGATATGTTACTTATTTTCTATCGAATAGCATTTGAATGAAATGCCTTGCTCGCCATCATGTGGTTAAGATGACGAGTGCTCATGTGTTTTTTCTCATACTGTCTTTGCAGCTGATTCAGACAATAAGTGCCGTTGACACGGACGAACCGCTCGTTGGACACAAGTTTGTCTTTAGCATAAGTGCCACCAATCCGAACTTCACCATTGCCGACAGGGAAGGTGAGAAACAAATACAAAGGTTACTCGTGTATGTTAAAGTGTGTCTGGAGATTTTGAAATGACAGAAATTGTAAGGAAATTCACAGCATATATGCATCGCCTCAACACAGCTCTCAGCATGGCGGCTAGCAGCTAATTGTGCTAATAGTGCTAACAGTTCAAGCTACGTTCAGCAACTATGCACCAAGAGAAACAGGTGGGCGGTGGCTCTATCACCAAAGTAAAGAGTGTAAACATAAAATTATTTACAATAAATAAAGTGCAGACCATATATTTGGTAGGAAAGAAATAAGAAAAAGTTACGCGCAACGTGGCGTCCGTCACCAGGTACAGAGAGAAGGAAACGCAGAAAACGACTATGTTTGGACAAGTGAGGCGGCTCCTCAATGACGTTCTACTCTACTTGTTTCCCCCCCCCCCACAGACAACACCGCCAACATCCTGACCCGGAGGGGAGGCTTCAGCCGGCGGGAGATGAGCATGTACTTCCTGCCCGTGGTGATCTCAGACAACGACTACCCCATCCAGAGCAGCACCAGCACGCTGATTGTGCGCGTGTGCGCCTGTGACAGCCGCGGGAACATGCAGACCTGCAACCCGGAGGTCCTGCCCTTCTCAGACGGCCTCACGACCGGGGCGCTGGTGGCCATACTGCTCTGCGTCGTCATCCTCCTCAGTAAGCCCCGCCCGCCCTCGAGTGCCAGCGTGCGTTTTGTGTGTGCGTGTGTGTGTGATCGGGTGTATTTGAAGTCAATTTCAATTACATCACCCAGAACCCAAATGCACAAATTGACCTCAGGAAGCTCTTGTATAATCTGTACACCAAACAACCTCATGCTCAGACTCCAGAGTTGCTTTAACGTCCCCTTAGTTACTGTCGCTATGCGTGGCTGGCTTTCCCTTTTGGCTCAGCAAAATTTGCAGTGATGACGGTGGCAAATTTTTAAATAATTGCAACAAGTCGCAGACGTTTAAAGGAGCAGGCAAAATATCCATCTCCTTTTTAACACGAAGCGCCTACTTGAGCCATTCGTACCGAGGCTAAAGTGTCCTGAGTCAGCATCGCCGAGTGAATACAGAACTGCCTTCTTCTTCTATGCCAGGGTAGCTAGTCAGCCTTTGGGTGATGCTGAGTAACACTATTATGAATAATAAGGCAGTCGATCTAACAATGTTTTGGATGATAGCTGTACAGAGGTGATATTTAAGTGTCGAAGGAGCAGATTCACAAAAAGAATCAACACCGATGAGAAGAAAGGAAATAAAGGGTGAAGGCAACGCTTACTGTAGAGCTAAGAAAGTAGCTTTCTGATGCTTACTGTGCTGCATTTATTTCAATTAGTTAGTGTGCAGACATTTGTGGTAGAAATAGACCAGCGCTGATAGCCGCATGCAGTCCCCGTGACAGCGTATTCAGGGTTTCTGGCTACTGACACACATTTGTAAGGCCGTCACGCCCAGACTCTCCACTGATCAGTCCATACTGAATACCAAATCACTGTCTCTCTGTCTGTCACACTGAAATGTCTTGGCTGGAGTTGGCCAATGCCTCGTCGGTCACAAAATGTATCATTTACTGGACCTGTCCATCATTGTTCCACCTTCTGTCTTCTTGGTTTTGTGGTGCACAGACTCTATTTGTACTTTTCGAAACATGGACGATTGGAATCCAACGCAATGTGTCCTAAACCCAAACTCCGAATGTGGAAAATAATCATTGCAAGTCACAATTCAAAAGGTCTACGAGCGGCCACGAACCATTCTGTGTGGCACCAAGTCTCCCTGAGACATGAAAGGGACACCATTGGAGAATCCCTGTTGTGGGCACGTTGCAGGCTGTCGAACGTGTCGCTGTCATCTACAAGCAGACACCTACCTGACCTTAACCTCCCATTGATGTCAGAAGCATGTAATACCTACAGAAGTATCAATCAAAATCCAAAATCCTTGGCGACCATGACCATGTCCTCAGAACCAGCTGTCCGTTCAGAATGTGCCGCTCCCCATCTCGCCTCCTCAGCTGTGGGAAAAGAGCCAGAGAAATGACCTCGCCACAGCACACCGTTTTTCTTTTGTTCCCCATTTTTTTTTTTTTTTTTATGCAGGTGATTTTTGATCAATGGCACCGAGATGTGTGACGCACAGAACATTAGCACTCCAGGCAGGAGTCTCACATGATCCATGCTGCAGCCAATCCAAGGTGCTGAAGTCGATAACGTGGCGCAGGGCGACTCGCTTTGCTCGAACACGTGCTGCCGAGTGGCCACTACAAGGGGAGAAATGTGAATACGTCGGCTCCAACAGCTTCTATCGTTACAAACGGCGCATCGATTGAAAGCTTTCCCAACTCGCTGCGATCAATAAAATGTTACTGAAAATATGCATTTCTCCCCAGCAGTCACCGCTCTGGCTGGCACCAGCCTGGAATCTTAATGTATTAAAACCGTTATCGTGACATTTAATACTTAAGAATGGTTGATGCAGCCAAGCGCCGTCCTTAAACAGTGCGACGGTGCCGTATTCCAAATACCTCACTGGAACTACTCAGCCTCCTTTTGCAGTGAATCTCCAGCAGCACACATCATACGGGAATGGTAAAGTAAGTAGGTTGTCAGTGCCTTTGGAAACAACCTATGGGGCCAATAGGACAATAACTCTGTGGGACACTCACAGTAATTGGGTACTCAGTGAGAGGTCTTAGTCATACTTTGAATAAAACGGGGTCTACTTCTCCTAGAAGCTGGGGCTTCCCCCTGGAAGTCAATGACTTCAACGGTATGTGGATGACCTCCACGCCGTCCTTTTTTTCTTGTCAAGAGGCTATATCTTTGAAGAAGTATTCCCTTATTAATAATTTAATCCCGAATGCTTTGGTTGCATATGCAAAAAGGCAAAGCAAAAAAAAACAAAAACAAGTAGGGTTTGATTGATTGCTGATGCTGAGCAGCAGTCCACATAATGCACACACACACACACACAATGTGCACGGCAGTACTCCATCAGCAAACTGTGCTGTGGTTCTGCGCTCCATTCATTATCAAATAAACCCACTTTGTGCAAATGCTCGCTGTATGGCCCGGTAGGTTGCGTGTTAATTCCCAACATGCGAAAAGCACCACTTCAGTCCTCCCCGGGATGTAATGCGGTGTGTAACGGCACACGGGCCACGGCAGCAGAAGTGCCTATCATTTTACCCTGCAAAGAGCAGAAATGCGTGGTGCTTATTGTCAAGGGCGTATCAATAAGTAATGGGTTTGAACTGCCATTGAGCGGTACCTCGCTTGGCCAAGCATAGTGCTTGATAGGAGCATTTATTACTGACTAGAGATTGGGATTGAGGAAATCCTTGCTTGCTCTTGTTCAGCGAGACTGTCCTCTGAGAACCGAGTAGCGTTGTTCTATATGAGTTTGTAACACTTACGGTGAATTGACTTTGAACCCACTTTTCTCCTTTCAAAGAGAAAGACTTTGCGAATTTGAGGTTTCCATCGATGTGCCTCATTATCAACTATTATAAAATAAGAAACTTGAAACAGAATTCAAGTGTGGCGAAGGTTAAACGCCACTCTCTCTCCTTTTCATCTAAATATCATGACATCTGCTCATCATGTGACTCTTTTTTTGCCTCCGACCCCCCCCCTGACGGACCGCCGCATTCAACCGCCGCTTGATCCACTGAGATGGAACGTTCTCCCTCGTCGCCGTCCAAAACCAGGGCACTGGTCGCTCACAAATGTCCGTAAAGAACCCTCTAAACAGACACCTCCACCCGACCCCCCCAGGGTGCTGTAATTAACACCCCGGTGGGAGGCAAGTAGACAACTTCAGTACCCACAGCACCCTCGCTAGGGCAGATAAAATGGGGGAGGAAGGCGATGGAAAGGAGGCAAGGGGGACGCAGCATTTGTACTTGTCCTAAATGAGGGATTGAGTCCTATTTTTCTTGGAGAATTATGGGTTTATTTAAAAGTTGCTCCCACACAGTGCCACTCTCTGGAAACATGCTCACTCTGCAATCTCCAATTGTCTTTTACTGCTGAAAGAGGAGGAATGAGATGAGCTACGAGGCTGCATGCTGGAGAGAGAGAGAGAGAGCGAGAGAGCGAGCGAAGGATCATCTAACCGCTGAGCATTTTATACTCTGAATGTGCCGTTCAAGGGGGAAAAGAAAGAAAATGCTTTTTCACTGAATCTTTAATAATAGGAGGGGAACGCCTGAGGCAGTGTTGGGGATTCATCACTGCTAACAAATGTGTCTCCCCTCCACGCTCCCCTATGCCCTCTAATGCGTGACACATGTTAGGAGGCACACATCTCATGCAGAGCTTCTTCTCTCCGTCTCTCCCTCCTGTTTTTGTGCAGTGATCGTGGTGCTGTTTGCTGCCCTGCGGAGGCAGAGGAAGAAGGAGCCTCTGATCATCTCCAAAGAGGATGTCAGAGACAACGTCGTCAGCTACAACGACGAAGGGGGCGGAGAGGAGGACACGCAGGCCTTTGATATCGGCACGCTGCGCAACCCGGAGGTGATGGACGCTAACAAGCTGCGGCGGGACATCATCCCCGAAATGCTGTTCCCCTTTCGGAGGACGTCACCGATAAAGGATAACGCCGACGTCAGAGACTTCATCAGCGGGCGGCTCCAGGAGAACGACGTGGACCCGACGGCGCCGCCCTACGACTCCCTGGCCACGTACGCGTACGAGGGCAGCGGCTCGCTGGCGGAGTCCCTCAGCTCGCTGGAGTCGGGCGCCACCGAGGGGGACCACGACTACGACTACCTCAGCAGCTGGGGGCCGCCCTTCAAAAAGCTGGCCGAGATGTACATCGGGAAGAGCCCCGACAGAGAGGCCTAGGCGGCCCTTTGGTCCCGGCCACATTTTCTGCCTGTTTATCTGGCTAGCTAGCCAGACAGCCATTTGTCTAGTTAGTCAGCTAGCCAGCTAGCCTGTCCACCTATCTATCCAGCTATCTATCTGTTTATCTGTCCAGTTCGCTAGCTCGCTAGTCCACCAGTAGTCTGTTTGACGCGTCAGAGGATTCCTGCGTTCTGCTCGTGGATGCTGACATGGAACTCCAGACTTGAACCGAGTGGACGTTTTTTCTCATTAACGGAGACACAGTATAATTCTCAAAGTTTTACGGTTTTTGATCATAATCAGTAAAGATGCCTTTGAATTTTAGGATTCTTTGTGAACAATGGTGTGGACAATGTGTTTTGTAATTGATCTGAGAGATAGTAGTCTTGTATACTATCAATGTTTATTGGCACCGAAAGGCTTTTGGGGCGGACTACAGAAGGAGTCCAGTGGTTTTTCCAGCCACCTCCATTAAATACTGTAAATGTACAAAGTGTTTTTAATGATGGACATCCTATGTACTATTTGCTATATTCGTTTGACAGGCAATGTTCATGTGAGTGGTTGGTGCAGTTTATTTGTCAAACTGTGAATTCATTTAATCATTTAGGTGTAATATGTAATGGAAAGTGTATGTTGTAGGAACACTGTCATACACTGGCAATTCACGCTGTTCGAATGCTGAGTCACACTGTTTTATATTTATATTTTTATACTTATTTTCTTAATAAAATGATGTAAAAAAGAAGGAAATATAGTTTCAATCCATTGCTTGACTTTGAAACGGTTTAAAAAAGTAAGTTGAGATTCTTTAAAACGGATTCACTTGAATAGCACTTGTTTTTGGCGGGTTAATAAAGAAACTAAAGTTGACAGAAGCACACACAGTGACCTCTGTGTGGGGCTTCACTCCCCCGGGTTTCCTCATTAGTGGGCAGCTGAGAAGACGCCGATACCTCCAATCACGTCCCGTCCCTCGCCGTCTCGCTCGCCGTCTCGCTCGCCGTCTCGCTCGCCTCTTTGGAATCCCAACAGCTGCCAGTTGTTAAATTGTGGTTCCGTTGTCAAATGGTCGTTCCACTCAGACGTAATGATTTTATTTACCGACCGTTGCGTTGGGCAGTTTGGATCGTTTTCATCGTGTCACTAATTGCCCCGGTAGTTGTCACATGCGATGCAATGAGAGTAATGAGCATCTCAGAGCTTCCTAACAGCGAGTTCTCCAGCTGTGCCTGAAGATAATGTCAAAAACTTCTTGTGCAAAACCTTTTTACACGTCACGCATCATTGCTGGAAAAAAAGTCACGCTTGTTTTAGGAATTTCTGATAACACAATATTGGATATTTCATATCTTCATTTGTTTTTATATATGGAAAAGATTTTTTGAAATTATGAAAAAGCACAACGATGTAACTACACTGATACACACCACATTTGTGTTTCTTGTCATTGTCGGGCCACCAGGGCGCTTTTGACCAAACACGATTGAGCGTTTGAATAAAATAAAAATAAAAATAAAACAAGACAAACTCTGACCGATCACGTTTCACCGGCTGCGCGCTTTAAACCGGTTCTGCAGGGCCGCCGCGCGTTCCGTTTCACAGCAGCGTGCATTCCAAGGCCGGGCGCCGGCGCCACGTAGCGGAGGCCGCGCTTCTGTCCACACGGGTGGTTATTCCCTGAAAGTGAGAGCCTGCAGGAGAGGATGGATATCGACTCCCCCGCTCTGCCGTCACCTGCCGCCGCAGCCCGAGGAGCCCGCCGAGCGTACCTGCCCAACGCCGGGGAGACCGGCGCCTTTCCCATATTGATCGCCTCTCGGCCACTAATGATGATGTATGTTACCGAAACGCTTCAGCATGCGGCTGTCTGGTGGTGAAACAGCTCGGCAGAGAATGAACCCCAGTAAGGATGTTGTGAGAGGGATGATTAAAGAGACGAAGCCACTTCGTGTTACTGACTTCCTCTCCGCATTTGGCTCATTGCAGAGCAACAGCGTACTTATGAACGTCTGAGAAAAGTTGACATAGTGTTTCATTTTCAGATTCATCAGGGTTTCCAGTAGGGCGTGTTTACATGAGTTTAAATACAATCATTTGTCTCACAGCGTGTGGCTGAATATACCCGTATTCATCCTCGGTGTGAAAGGCTCCGTTTCCCCCCTCTTGAATAAACCCACCCTGCTATGATTGTCCTCTGATTAAAACAGCTAAATCTGAATAACATGTTGTGTCACATGTTTTATCATACAGGCAGATAAACATAACAGACTGGCTTCGCCTACTTCAATCTTTTTCAATGACATTCTTAGTCATGTGACTATTGAATTAGCTGACCTCATTGACATTGACAGTTTAAAGTATTAAAGTATTTAAATATCAACACAAAATGAAAGTGTAGTTTCACCAGTAAATGTGTGATATATCACATAAATGTGTGCTGGAGCCATAGACGTTAATTAAGAACATGTGGAACACTAATGTGAATTTTTGCTGGTCATCAAATCTTTAGTTTTTTCCCGTCCAGCGGGAGGAATCAAAGCGTTATAAATGTGACCTGCTGTGCAGGGACGCACGAGCCCAGCGCGAGGTGATTATTCCTCCGTCAGTCCCCCCATTATGCTTCGCGTCTGTCCACTAATTCGACCCCAGTGACCTGCGTGGAGGGCGGCCTGCTCACACCGCTGACGTAAGGCCGTGATTAGAGCTTATGAGCGCAGCGCGCCGCGTTTAATGTGAGAAAGTTGTCCGCCAGCAACACGGGATGAAACAGGACGGGTAACTCCTGACGGGAGTATTAGCGCGGCTCACAAAGGGAGGAAAGGGCTGCAGGTGGCTTTTTCTGACGGAGGAACAGCGCGAGGGACTTAAGATTGATTTGCTGTTTCCTTTGATTACTGTGAAACACAGCAATTTATTCCTTCCTATATGTCCGATGCAAAGACGGCGGCTCAGCTGAGACCCCAACGGGATCGCAGGCACACTTCAGACGCCAGGTTGATGCCATAACTTCGAGCAATCATTTTTTTAAAAGGCTGTTTGTGTGCAAAGCTCGAGAGAATCGGGCCTCTTGTCAGGATTCATAATGCATCGCGTTCCGTACGGCTCTACTGCGGCTGCAAAAGACTAACAGATGCAAAGAGCTGCAATCAATAATGCAGGTGAGACATTGGTGTCCAGACCAGACGTGACAGCACACGCTGTCCACCGGAGGTTTTTGCGTCTTATTCCAGGCCGGCACTATTCAAACTAGTCCCTTTTATAGCAAACCCTTTCCCCGAATCGAGGTACGAGCACCCGATTCTCCTTCGCGCCCGACGCATCAGCTTAATGTGGCTAAAATGTAACTGAAAGGGCGTTATTTTTAACACATATCGATTCCATAACGGCCCATTTGGCTACTTGTGAAGCCTCAGGTACCCAGCCTGAGTGCACAATTGATCTTTCCATTAACTGACCTTTAGAAAAGAGAAAACCCTGTGTGTCAATAGAAAGGCTTCAGAAACGTGGCGTTAAATTAAACATGCTAAACGGGTGATTTTTATCTTCATGGGCTGCTGTATTTAGAGAGACACGTTGACTCCGCCTCCCTCGTCGTCTTGTCGGTCGCGCGATCGCTCACCTTCCACCCGCTGCCGCGTGCGTCCCTCACACCGGCGAGGCCCCAACAGCTCCGGCCAGGTGGCACCCATCAGGACGGATCGTCACCTGCCTGTGAGCCAGACCGGTCCCAGCGCGTCCAGACAGGAGCCGGGGACGAGGAGCTCAGCTCGCTGCCCGCAGCCTTCAAATGTGGCGACACCTGTTACGACACACACACACACACACACACACACACCTTCTCTCACCGACACACTGACGTTTTTAGGCAATATTGAAAAACAATGAAACACACAGAGCTGAATAACCAGAGACTGCACTGAACGCGAATGTTCCAGTATAGCAGCATTAGTCGATAGATTTAATGTCATATGGGAGCTCATGTGAGTAAAAACATTGTATCCAACCAAAATCAAGCATTTGTGAATTCAATATTTTGTAGGGCATAAATTACGTAATATGTATCACTTGCAAAATAAACTTCATTAAAAGCAGAACAGAAACTTTAACTTTAAATATTCAAGAAAAAAAAGTTGATAAAATGTTTAAAATGATAATATGAATAATTTCTTTGTGCTTTGTGGTGGTAGCACTTTCAGCCCATCCATTACCTAAAATGTATATATATATATATATATATATATATATATATATATATATATATATATATATTTATTTTGTATAGCAGTTGCTATTTGGGATCCACGCTCCAGCTTTAAAGCGATTTTAGCGCTCTACCGGCGAGTAGTTACTGATGTGGGCTGAACATTAAGAAAACACAAGGCAGCTTTTTTTTCCCTCAGGGAAGGAAAACGACTTCCGAGCACAAAGGAACTGCATCAGTGGCATGGCACGCTGCCTAGTTTGTTATAATTACAAGCAAAAGCAGGTCTGAATGGGCATCTTAATGACCAAACAAATTGTTGAATATTTCAAACCCATCTGGATCATTTTCTGAGGGGAAATGTAATTGCTGTTCAGGCTCGGTGAATAGCATCCTTGTGGTTTACCCATATACCTGAGACGACGCATAAGGCCACTTCCTTTTCTGCCAACTCACACCATTTCAGGTTTCACGTCCCACGAGTCCGTCGGTCAGGCCAGGGATGGTCATTGGAGCTGCAGAGCTCATTCTACGTCTCTACTGCGTGATGGAAAGCAGAACACATGCACACACTTCCACTGGGGTTTGACTTGGTGGCCGTCGTTCAGCTCGCTCTACGGACATCGGGCCTCCGCAGCAGTAGACTTCATTCATTGGTATTTGGCTCCATCTCCTGGATGCGTGAAACCAGAGCACAGAGACGCTGCATCGTGCTCGCACATTGTGTTATGAAAACATCTAGAAAAAGCATCACGGGATCATAAAATAACACACGTTTGTGTCCTTTGTGATATTCAGGTTGACTGAAAACAGAAGTGCAAACATGACACACGGGAGATGCTGCTTTATTAAACAGAGCATATGTTGATTGAATTGTACATTGTGCTCCTCGTGTACGAAGCGTACCTGGTATTCCAGTCTCTGTTAGACACACGCCGTGTGCACGTGGGGTCCATTGCTCTGACGTCCTCGGGAGGTCGCCAGCAGGGGGCAGCAGAGATCTTTGAACAAGTACCTGGAAGCAGCACCAATTCATCGCAGGAAAAGAAAGAAAAGCCCCTCCAGTTCCCAGGGAAACGCTCTCCGGTGCACATGTTGTTTGACCGTATTCAAAAGAACACGTGTAGCTCTAGATGTATTTTTTTATTTTATTTTGGAGCTGATGACATTTAGATGGTTGCTGCATTTTCTCAGCTAACGGGTTACTGGTTATATTTAATTTATTTGACAGGGATCTTCTCATCTGGCAACGAAGTTAATTCACAAGTCAAGTCAAAGTATTCCTTTAATTGTTTGACAGTGTCAAGTAAATGATGCTAATGAATAAAACACCAAAATCACAGTATTTATAACTCCATTACCTGCAGTGACCTCACTCATAAATTCACCGTCCGATCAGGGAATACGTCTCCTACCAAACAATGACAAAAACAAAACAACCCTGGTGGCGCATTAATTTGTTGGAATTACTGTGACAGTTGTGCATGTTTTGTTTCATTAACTGCGCCGTATGAGTTCCACCATTCGGCGTTTATGATCATGATCATTG